TTATAAATCATATTGTGTTCTTCGAACTGTTATGGCTTGCTCAAAATTGTAGTTTCAAAAATACTGTCTTAGGATTCTGCTGTTGTGTTATGATTCAAGGATTTATCCCTAAGTTGATAACATCTATATTTTTGACAAGAGAATTGAAACACGATAGAAGTAATAGAGCTTGGTGGTCAGGTAAATGGGCAACTGCTGGTTTAGGATGGGGTATTTTCACACAACCTGGCCGTGAATTTTTATGTAAAATTGTGGAATTGAGTATGTTCTCAGCTGACTTTACTCTCGGGCATTTGATTTTGTTTACCCAGATACCAATTTTATTCATTCCTGATGTTGATAGATGGCACTCGTTGTTATTATTTTGGTTAAAACCTGACAGGCAGCTTCGTTCTCAAATTTCATCTTCGAAAAAGAAGAGAAAGAGAAGAATAGTTGTTCATTTTATCTTATAATGCTGGTTTAGTAATAAATTACGATCACGTAAAAAATAATGTTTATTGATTGATGAATATCTTAAGATTATATGTTTTATTAAAATGTTTTTTTTTATTAAACTGTAATTACCTGCAAATTGAATAAAAGATTTTAATTAATTGAGCATCCAATAAAAGATCAGAGCTGCTCCAATTATCATTGCAATTATTTGGGCTGAAAATCTCCGTTCTGAATACCCTCTATCATCCTTAGCAGCTAATAAAAAAGACCAACAAGTTATTGCAATAAATGATGAGTACAAAAAACCTGCCCACATAAAGCCTTCCAAAGTTTGTACTTTTCCATGAACTGTTTTTAGATTGAAGCTGAATTCAGGGAGTTTGGTAAAGTTCATTTTCACAACTTCTTCACTTTCATTTGGTTTTTTTCTAATTGTTGGGTTGAAACACATGTTTTCTTCATGTTTTGTAAGATTGTTAAAATCTTGTGAACTTTTCCAGAGCAGTGTCAGATCCATGGTTTCATTGGTGTTATATAAGCTGTTCAGTTTAAGCACAACGGCTTCTTTGTATTTGGAGCATCTTAAATCAAAGCTCTTTGAGTAATTTGTCTCTAGTTCTCTTTCATCTTTTTTAACACCAAAACGTAAAATTATTAAACCTCCTGTGAACCCCAAAATTCCTAAATTTGATAAAAAAAAGTTAAAATGATATATGAATACCATTAGTTTTGTTAAATTTTCAGCTTTGAAGATTGACTTTTTAATAAATTTCCAAATAAAGTCGAACAGTTTTAAAAGATTAGCAGCAGCTTCTTTGAGTAAATACCAAATTTGCAATAAAAATACCAGAACAGAAAATATCAAAACCAACAATAGTTTCTTTAAAAAATATAACCAAATGTATTTTCCCAGAAATCTCCATATTATATCACGTCCAACATCTATGAAAACGAAATCCCACACAAATTTTAATATATATTCCCATATAATACCACCAGTGTAGACGAAACAGACATTGATAATGAAAACAAACCCCGAAGATATCTCTGTGAATATTTCTTTTAAGTATTCAATCATATCATCTTTTGATGGAAGTTCATCTAAATGTAATAACTGAGAAATATTCGTAATTCTATAATTATACTAGTCTTGAATTTGGGTTGATGTCTACGATGTTAAATTCTGAAGACCTTAATTGATTTGTGTATTAACTGAATATGCATAAATCATAAAAGTAACTGAAAGGTACATTTGTGGTAGTCTAATTAGGTTTTAAAGCGACACTTTTTTTTGACACAAAAGAAAAAATTGACGTACTAAATTTAATTAAAATTTGACACAAAAAAAAAATTGACACTATTAATTTTTGAAATATTAATTAATTGACACAAAACAGGCCGATTTGTTTAATTTGAGAAAAAAGTTTGATCAGTTGAAAGCGGTTGAATGATAGCTGAACTTATATAATCTGAACTGTACCAACATTTATTCGATCCCACATGATCTTCCAATTATAATGAAACGTTTTTTTTGGCCGTAATATCAATATAACTTAATTTCTTCTGAACCAGCTTTCTAGATTAACCAGCTAGTCTTCAATTATGTATCAATAATGTAGAATCCTAGCTAGTTAGTAGTTACTATAATGAGTGCTGCGAGGTAAAATAATAATGATTGATTAATGTTGAATGAAATGAATAGCTAATATCTAAGATATCTCTAGATATACTACTATATAAAGTTACGTGTTTTTGTTTTTTCCTTGTAATCCAGCATACTTGCTGCTGCTGCTGCAGCACTGGTAGACTGTAGTGGGCACTTGGACGGTGGACCTGGGTACTAGCCTCTAGGTAGTCTTAAGCGCGATTTTTAGGGTATGTGTACTTAAGCACACATCATCGGATCAATGATGTTACTTTACAATCCGATTAATAACCATAAAGAGGAGAACAACCATCATAGAATATGGATATAAATACACATACAATCCACCTTTTGGCTCCCAATAATCTGGGTCGATGATACAAGTCTTTGTGAGAGAGTGCAGCCTATACTATACATTTAGTAGAACTTCCGGTTATCGCACACTTTCCCTGTACTTTCCTTGTGGCTAGTATGTGAACCAAAATCGCGTATATGGTAGTGGCACTTGACACATAGATACATTCTTTACGAAATCTTTTCTTCAATATCTTGAATATTTTGGTAACTCTGGATCCTCTTCCAATGTATTTTCATTACTGCTAACTTTAATCTCATCATTTCCAGTTTTCATATCATATACTGTGAAATACATATCGTCACAAGCATCTGGATTATCAAAGTCGATCTTCCCATAGGCATTTGAGAGACGTTTGAAACAATCTTTATTGATAGCACGTTCGAAATCAAAACAGCTTTCAAAAAAACCTTTGTATTCGTTCTTTTTCTGAAAAAAATAAACACAGTTCCGATGTGGTATTGTTCCTTTAATGTCTATATGTTTTGAATTCTGTTTCTGGATAACTTTGCCAATTAGTTCCTGTGGCCGTGCGGTATAATTTGCCCTTGCTTCTATTGTATTTGAATAAAAATTCAATAATTTACAGAAGATTCTGAAAAATTCAGGAGTTTCAACTGCAATTAAAAACCTTGGTAACCTTTCACTGTTAATCTTGGAAGTATAATCATCAATCTCTCTATCAGATTTTAAAGCTGTATCAAATTTATTTAAATAAGTTAGAACTTGTGAAATATTTAAGTCTGGTTTCATTAATACTGTGAAACAATGCTCAAAAATACATCCATCAAGATACACTCTAATGTCTTTGATATCTTTCTCACACAATGTATTTGTAGGATGATTTCTCAATTTCAATTTAACAGCAAATTGTTTATATTCAACGTATTGGGGTTCAACAATATGGAATATTTCTTTTGATTTGAATTCAAAAGAAGTTCTTGAATCAAATAGAGCACCAAGGAACCGATCAGATTGACAATTCAAGATTGCAGTATGTTGTGAATCACCATCCTTGAATCTTGGTTCTAAACATAACGTTCCCATTAACTCTTCATCTGTTAAATTTAAAAGTTTTGTATATCCTCTATTAGAATCAGCCATATTAGATTTTTGATAAACTATATAAACAAACAGCTTTGAGCTGGCTTTTGACTAATATCAGTGACCAAAATAGATTTATATCGTGGGCCTTTTTTAAGTAAATATAACGTATCTTGAGAGAGAAAATCTCGGCTCTTTATATATCGGTTAATTAAGTAGCTTGAGAATATTAATTTAAACTATATATACCGTCAAATCAGGTTCAGATTGAGAAGTTAATATATAATAATGAGCACTTATATAAGTAGGTCCTCTATTACAGTAAAAATTGAAACTTCTCAAATATGTATTATCTTTCGGTATATTAGCTACGCGTTATCGTATAATACTATAATATTACCACCAATATTTAATATATTTGGAAGTTTACAGAGCTAACTGATTGAAAATTTTAGATCCAAATAAATTTATTTTGAATATTTTGGTAAATCTGGGTCCTTTTCAAATGACTTATCATTTTCTTTCAAATTTATCTTATCATTTGCACATTCCATATCATATACTGTGAAATACTTATCGTCAGAAGCAGCAGAATTATCATAATCGACCTTTTTATGGACATTTGTGAAATATTTGAGAAACAAACCATCGATAACTCGATTGAATTCCATCTTGAAAAAACCTTTGAGGTCATCATTTTTTTGGATAAAGTAAACACAATTCCGATGTGGTATTGTTCCTTTAATGTCTATATACTTTGAATCCTGTCTTTGAATAACTTTACCAATTAATTTCTGTGGTGATGTATAATTTGTTTTTGCTTCTATTGTATTTGAATAAAAATTCAATAATTTACAGAAGATTCTGAAAAATTCAGGAGTTTCAATTGCAATTAAAAATCTTGGTAACCTTTCACTGTTAATCCTGGAAGTATAATCATCAATTTCTCTATCAGATTTTAAGGTACCAACTTCATTTAAATAAGATAAAATTTGTGAAATGTTCAAATCAGGTCTCATTAATACTGTGAAACAATGCTGTGAATTACATTCATCAAGATAAGCTTTGATGCATTTGATATCTTCCTTGCCCACTGTATCTATGAGGTGATTTTTCAATTTTAATTTAACTGCAAATTGTTCATATTCAAGGTGTTGAGGCTCAACAATATGGAATATTTCATTTGATTTAAATTTAAAAGAAGTTCTTTTATCAAATAGAGCAGCAAGGAACCGATCAGATTGACAATTTGTGAATGTATTATTTGTTGAGTCAAATTCTCTGTATCTTGGCTCCAAACATAATGTTCCAATTAACTCTTCATCTGTTAAACTCAAAATTTTTGTATATCCCTTATTAGAATCAGTCATATTATGTTTAGTTTTCGAGGGTTGAAACTCTGAGTTATTCATCAATATCTAATATAGACCTTTGCTATGGGTCTTGTGTAAGAAAATATATCATGGCTCAATTTATATTAATAATAGCTGTTGAAAGTTGAGAATATTAATTGGAATTGCATTCAGAAAAATCTAATGTCACATTGAGAGTTTTATAGCTTTATATGTAACGATTAGAAGCGAGATCAGAAGCCAATCTTGTACTGCAATCAGTAAAACTTCTCATTTATCCTTCAGTACTAAACATGATATTATCGATGATTGTCACATTCTCAAGTCCTCTCTCCTGGGAATTTTGAAACTATTCTCGTATATTTCAATTGATCTTCCTTTTAAATTTTCCGTACTTTCAAGTTTTCAAGTACTCCAGATTTTCCGGAAAATTAAAATTTGACATTTTTTGTTAAAGGACACGTTTGAAATTTGAAGA